CCCCAATTCTTCTAATGTCCTGAGCGCAAAGGCAACCAAAGTTTCTCAAGGAACAAATCAGCCATGTTCTTATGGGAAAGGGTTAGGCTATAGATTGAAGTTCTGTCTTTGCTTCCTGGAGTTGAATTCTAGACAGATTCGTTGGAGGAGTTGTTGATCCTGAAGGGTCATCCCCTTCTGGCTAGAGACCAGAGCACTTTGCACAAACCTCAGTGGCATTTCCTGACCCACAGGCATACCACCAAGTGCCCAAGCTTTGCAAGTTGACAGGTTTCCCCCAGCCTTGGTCCTGCCACCTTAATGAGGGCATTTGGAACAAACAACACCCTTCTCTGAGCTGGTTTCCTCCTCTGTACAGTGGGGATAAAGACTCCTGGCTTTATCATGAGAAATTATCAAGACAGCGGGTGGATCACACTGGGCATCTAGCAGACTCCAGAATGAGTTAGTACCTGCTTCATTCCCTTGGGCTTGGCTCTTATCTGGGCCCTGCCTTCCCAGGGGACAGTGAGCCCCCCGGTGAGGTGGCTCGGGCACGCACCCGGGAGCTGGGCCGTGAAAACCGGCGGCTACAGGACTTGGCCACCCAGCTGCAGGAGAAGCACCACCGCATCTCATTGGAGGTGGGAGTCAGGAACCTTTGGGGTGGAATTAAAACCAGGGCAGGGTTGGGGTTAGATGGGTACCCAAGAATCTCAAGGAACCAAAACTCCAGTCCAAATAACTATCCCGTGCATCACCCCCAGTACTCTGAGCTCCAGGATAAAGTGACATCAGCAGAGACTAAGGTGTTGGAGATGGAGACGACAGTGGAGGATCTGCAGTGGGACATTGAGAAACTGCGCAAGCGAGAGCAAAAGCTCAACAAGCACCTGGCGGAGGCCTTGGAGCAGGTAGGGGTGGGGTGCTGGGCAGATAGAGCCAACATGGAATATTTAGGGCCCTTACTTCTTCCACATCCATCATCTGTCTTTCTTCTCTACACAGCTCAACTCTGGCTACTATGTGTCTGGGAGCTCCTCAGGCTTCCAGGGTGGCCAGATCACACTCAGCATGCAGAAGGTAAGCAGCATCATTTCTTCTAGACTTTCCCGTGACATTTTCTTTTTTTTTTTTTTGGAGAGGTGTTCACTATAGGGCATGTGCACTCGCCAGACAGAGAGAGACATAGAGACAGAAAGTGAGAAATCATCCCCCAGGGGAGATGGTCACGCCGCAGTCCCTTCTCCTCCATTCTCCTCTCGGGATCTTGGGCACGCACGCACACGCGCCCGGTGTGGGTTGAAGCCACCGGGTCCAGAACACGAACCACGGTCGACTACGTGGGAGTCCAGCGACATAGCCATTACGCTAACTGCTGGTTCCCACCTGTGACATTTTCTGTATCTCACCTTTGAACTTTCCCTTGGGATTAAAGGCACTCAGCTTCTGAACCCCTCTCTGTCACTCTTGCTGCTCTTTCATTCATTCGTTCAGATACTTATTTAGCGTACAATGATAGAGCGATAGGTGCCAAATGCTAGGCATATTGGAAAGAATAAGACAGACAGAAATAAAACTTTTCAGCATTTAGGTTCTAGGTGAGGAGAACAGAGTAGAAAAAATAATACATCAATTAAAGAAAGCATAAGAGGGCCAGCAGATCAGGTGTGGTGGTTGAGGTACTGGATCTACCCAACTCCCCAGTTCGAATTCCAGACCCAGTGGCTTGAAAAACTTGCCTGCATTTTGTGTGTGTGTGTGTGTGTGTGTGTGTGTGTGTGTGCCCAAAATCCCGAGAGAATAGAGGAGAAGGGATAGCACTATGGCCCTCGTCCCTGGAATGTGATTTGTTTTCCTGTTCCTGTGTCTGTCTGTCTCTCAGGTGAGCACATGTACCCCATGGCAAAAATCTTTTTTTCTTTTTGAGAGTTTTTTGCTATAGGGAATGTGCGCTTGCCAGAAAGACAGAGACAGAAAGCGAGAAATCACCCTCCAGGGGGGATGGCCACCCTGCAATCCCTTCTCCTCCATTCTCCTCTTGGAATCCTGGACATAACACGCACACGCATCTGGCGTGAGTTTAAGCTACCAGGTTCGGAACTCGAACTACAGTCTACTACGTGGGAGTCCAGCGACATAGCCATTACACCAACTGCTGATCCCTATGGCAAAAATCTTGAAACCAGAAAAAGAAAGAAAAGAAAAAGCCCAAGAAAGGGAAATTACAGTTTGGTTAGAGTGATTGACTTTCGGGGGCCGGGAGGTCACTGTGCCCTGCTTTCTCTTTACTTCACCTGGCTCTTCACATCTTCCGGGAACGTTTCCTTTATTCTCAATCAGCTAAGAGCCTTAGCTCCCAGCACTGACTATGCAGTATTAGGTTTTCTCCCACTTACCTAAGGAGCCCTTAGGAAAGCCCTTGGTTTGGGACTTCAGAATCCATCGCTGCCCTTCGCAGGGCAGCTTGGGTAGGTTTATGGTGGGGATATGAGGGGAGTATGCTGCCTGACTTGGCACTGCCTGCCACGGCCCCTTCCACTCCTCAGTTTGAGATGCTCAATGCAGAGTTGGAGGAAAACCAGGAATTGGCCAACAGCCGCATGGCAGAACTGGAGAAGCTGCAGGCCGAACTTCAGGGGGCTGTACGGACCAATGAACGTCTTAAGGTAAGCTGTGGTTGAGGCTGAGAGGGCCTGGGCCTAGTGGCTGAGCCCTGAGTCTTGCTGATCCATTTTGGGCATTCCTCCCCCAGGTAGCCCTGCGGAGCCTTCCCGAGGAAGTGGTGCGAGAGACAGGAGAATACCGCATGCTACAGGCCCAGTTCTCACTGCTGTATAATGAATCTCTGCAAGTGAAGACACAGCTGGATGAGGCCCGGGGGCTACTGCTGGCCACCAAGAACTCCCACCTGAGACACATTGAGCACATGGAGGTATGGCCCTGGATTCAGGGGTAGGGGCTGAGGATCTGAGCCAGACTCTTAACATTGAGGTGTTCTTGGGCTTCAGAGGCCCCCTGTGCCTACCAGGTGCCCCTTGGGAATAGATTTCTTCTTAAGGCACTGAGGCTTGAGGTGGAGCTGAAGGGTTGTGTGGGTCCTGAACACCTCAACCCACAGAGTGACGAGCTCGGGCTACAGAAGAAGCTGCGCACAGAGGTTATCCAGCTGGAGGACACACTGGCCCAGGTACGCAAGGAGTACGAGATGCTACGCATCGAATTTGAACAGAACCTGGCAGCCAACGAGCAGGCGGGTATGTGGTGAGGATGGGGTGGAGGTGGGTCGTGTCTGTGTGCCGGACTCGGGTGCGAGGCTGCTGCTTGTCTAGTGCAAGAAGTTTAGCCCCTTCCGAAGTTTCCTGGAGCTTCAGCTCCTTGTGGAAAATAGGGACTGCATCACCTGACTCACTGATACAGGGAGGGTCACGGTCAGCTGAGGAAGCTGATGGAGCAGGCATAGTCTGAACATGAGCTGTTGGCTGTCTATGGCCTTCTGGGATCTCTCTCTTTAAGATACTTGTTTTAGGGACCAGCAGTTAGCTTAATGGCTATGTCGCTGGATTCCCATGTAGTCAACCGCGGTTCTAGTCCCAGACCTGGTGGCTTAAACTCACGCCAGGTGCATGTGCGTGTGTGCCCCAAGATCCTGAGAGGAGAATGGAAGAGAAGGGATTGCAGCGTGGCCATCCCCCGGGGGATGATTACTCGCTTTCTATCTTTCTGTCTCTCTCTGTCTTTCTGGTGAGCGCACGCACCCTATAGCAGAAACCTCTCCAAAAAAAAATAATAATAATAGAGTAAAAAAAAAAAAAAAAAGATACTTGTTTTACAGAAATTTGTTGAATACTACCTATGAGCTGGAATCTAATCTAGACTTTGGAGGTATGCCAGTGAACAGAACCCAAAGAACTCTTGGCATTATGGAACACTGTTCTATTAGGGGAAGGTAGATGATTTAAAAAAAAAAAGAAAGAAAGTATGTTAGATTAAAAAAAAGTATATTAGATAGCAATCAGTATACCAAGAAAAGTGAAGCAGGAAAGGAAGACAAGGAGTACCAGGAGAAAAGCAGGAGGATAGGTAGGGTGGTGATTAAGGAGCTAGACTCCCATATGGCCAACCTGGTTGGACTCTTGGACCTAATGGCTTGAAAAATCATGCCTGACACTTGTTCGTGAATGTCCAAAGTCCCAGGAGGAGAATGAAAGGAGAATGAAAGAGAGGGGATTGTGGTTTAGCCATTCCTCCAGGGGATGATTTCTCACTTTCTTTTCCTGTCTCTCCCTGGTAAGTGCACGTGACCTATGGCAAAAACCTAAAGGAAGAAAAGGGGTGTTGCAGTTTTGAATGGGGAGGAGGCCAAGAAAAATGTAATGAGAAAGTGACATTTTTTGAAGAGTTTAACACTTTTTTCTCCTGAAAGAATTTTTTTTTTTAGTTTTTTTCTATAGGGCACAAGCACCTACTTGCCAGAGACACAGAGAGAGACAGAGAGACAGAAAACAAGAAGTCACTCCCTTAAATGGTCATGCTGCAGTCTCTTCTCTATTCTCCTCTTGGGATTTTGGCCACACATACACACACACACACCCGGCATGAGTTTCAAGCCGCTGGGTCCAAGATTTGAACTGCGATCAGCCATGTGGGAGTCCACCAACCAACTATTACACTATCTGCTGGTTCCTATTATTTTCTTTTAAGAGAGATTTTCTCAGTAGAGCACATGTGCTTGCTGGAGAGACAGAGACAGAGAGATAGAAAGTGAGAAATTACCCTCCAGAGAGGATGGACACATTGCAATCCCTTTCCTTCATTCTCCTCTAGGTTTTGGGCATGCATGCACGCAAGCCCATAAGCTGCCATGTCTGGAACCTGAACTGTGGTCAGCTATGTGGGAGTCCAGCCACATAAACATTATGCCATTTGCTGGTTCCTATTTATTGTTTCTTAATTTGCTGTAGGGTACATAGACTCTCCAGTGAGAGAGAGAGTGAAAAAATAAGCCTCCAGATCTAGGACTCAAACCATGGTCGGCCATGTGGGTGTCCAGTACCTTAACCACCACGCCACCTGCTGGCCCCAGAAGTTGACTCGCTTGTGTGAATGTTAAAGTTATCCATTTTATTGAAAGAAATTTGGAGATACTACAGTCTGCATTAGCAAAAGTAAAATCATTAGGCAGGGTCAAGTTTCTTTGCAGTGTTTCCTTCAAGTCTGCATCATTTATTTAGATATGATCACACTATATAAGGCCTTAGTTTTTTCTTCTTGCACAAGGGGTGTGGTGGCTCTGGTTCTACCTCTTCCCTCCTGAGAGGTTGGGACCCTAACCCAGGGACCAGTCTGACACCCTTCCTTCCTACCTCCCCCCAGGGCCTATAAACCGTGAGATGCGCCACCTGATTAGTAGTCTCCAGAACCACAACCACCAGCTAAAGGGTGATGCTCAGCGATACAAGCGTAAGCTTCGAGAAGTGCAGGCTGAGATTGGCAAGGTGAGAAAAGGGGCTGCCTAGGGAAACCCTTGGCTAGACCCTAGTGAGCACCATCTCACCTCATCCCTGTTCTTCTTTGTCTCTGCAGCTCCGTGCTCAGGCCAGTGGCTCTACTCATTCTATTCCCAGCCTGGGCCACCCAGAGGACTCGGGCGTGTGTGCCCCAACCCCAGGGAAAGAAGAATGTGGGCCAGGTACTGGTGGTACCCCTGACAGTAGAAAGGATATGACTTCAATACCTGGCACCACCACTACCACCACCTCACTAAAGAAGGAGGAGCTTGTTCCCTCTGAAGAGGATACCCAAGCCCTAACACCTGGGGCCCAGGGTCCCTCCTCCCGGGGCCGAGAACCAGAGGCCAGGCCCAAGCGAGAGCTTCGGGAACGGGAAGGGCCTGGCCTGGGATCTCCACCTGTAGCCTCAACTCTCTCAAGGGCTGATCGGGAGAAGGTCAAGTTGGAAGAGGCCAAAAGGAAGGAGTCAGAACTCCTCAAAGGGCTTCGAGCAGAGCTCAAGTGAGGCCCTATTGCTGTTGTCTACCCTGCGCCCCCATCCCCGCCAGGTGGCCCTAAGTCCTCTCATCAAGCATTCCTCCTGTATCTCCTCTAGGAAGGCCCAGGAAAGCCAGAAGGAGATGAAGTTGCTGTTGGACATGTACAAGTCTGCACCCAAGGAACAGAGGGATAAGGTGCAGCTCATGGCAGCTGAACGCAAGGCCAAGGCTGAGGTGAGGGCAGGTAGGGCTATGGAGCATGCAGAAGAGCTGCCTCTGGGGTTCTGAGTAAAACAGCCCTAGGTCAGCAGTAAGAGAGCTTTCTCCTCGTGGCTGTAGGTTGATGAGCTGCGGAGCCGCATCCGTGAATTGGAGGAACGGGATCGAAGGGAGAGCAAGAAGATTGCAGATGAGGATGCCCTGAGGCGCATTCGGCAGGCAGAGGAGCAGATTGAACACCTGCAGCGCAAGTTGGGTGCCACCAAGCAGGTGCGCTCCCTTCGCTCCCTTCTGTTTCCTCGCTTCTGAACACAGGGATCCCTAAACCCTATGTTTTGTGGCTCTGGCAGATATGGGACCCTGGTAGCTCAAGTCCACTCTGGTTTTTTGTCACGTTTTCCTGTGATGTCTGCCATGACCATGCTGTCTACCTACTATGTTCTATGTTGTGATTGTTCACTTGCTGCAGGAGGAGGAGGCTCTGCTGTCAGAGATGGATGTGACAGGTCAGGCTTTTGAGGACATGCAAGAGCAGAATGGGCGACTGCTACAGCAACTGCGGGAAAAGGACGACGCCAACTTTAAGCTAATGTCAGAAAGGATCAAGGCTAACCAGATTCACAAGCTACTGCGGGAAGAGAAGGATGAGCTGGGCGAGCAGGTTCTTGGCCTCAAGTCCCAGGTATGGCCACCCCAGACTTGCAGAATAGAGGTGCAGAGGTGGGGGCTCCCCATCACTGAGACCTTCCCCTGTCATCAGGTGGATGCCCAGCTACTAACCGTGCAGAAGCTGGAGGAAAAGGAGCGGGCCCTGCAGGGCAGCCTCGGGGGTGTGGAGAAGGAGCTGACACTGCGTAGCCAGGCCCTGGAGCTCAACAAGAGGAAGGTGAGGCTAGGTCTGAGGGGGAATCAGCCTTGGCAACTGGTTTGCACTCTCACTTACTGTTCTGCTTGAAGAACCCGATGCAGTTGGCCTGGATGAAGCCTGGCTCTGCCTGTTTTTATAGAATAGCTAGCAAGTATCAAATGTTTACTGCGGAGAACCAGCAGTTAGCGTAATGACTATGTCGCTAGACTCCCAAGTAGTCGACCACAGTTCGTGTCCCAGACCCGGAGGCTTAGAACTCATGCCGGGCGCATGTGCGTGCGTGCCCAAGATCCCCAGAAGAGAATAGAGGAGAAGGGATTGTGGCATGACCATCCCCCCTGGGGGGTGATTTCCCACTTTCTGTCTCTATGTCTCTCTGTCTGTCTGGCGAGCGCACACGCCCTATAGCAAAAATCTCTCCAAAAAAAAAAAAATGTTTACTGCGTGCCCACCTCTGCTGAGTGCTTCATGTCCTTGTACGTCAAACCAAGGCTCAGAGAAGGCTGAGGGGCTGTGGGAACTCAGACAAGGCCCTTAAACTGCTCCTGGCGGTTGTATTCCAGACTCTCATAATCCTACCAAGATGGTGTTTCTCATTAGCCCCATTTTGTAAGCAAGGAAAACCAAGGTTCAGAGAAGTCAGTTGACCTGCTCAAGAAAAAATGAGATGGGACTGGCAGGTGGCACAGTGATCAGGGTGCTGGACTCCCACATGGCTGACCGCGGTTCAAGTCCTGGACCTGGTGGCTTGCTTTCTCACTTTCCTTCTCTCTCTCTGGTCAAATTAACAATAAATATAATTAAATAATTCTTAAAAAAAAAAAAAAAAAAAAAAGGAAAAAAAAATAAAATTGTATGTTACGGGCTTAAGGCTTAACGTCACTTTTGTCTCATATCCCCTAGTGAACTTTTCCTGTTCTAGTTATTTCATTAATTTAAGCAGCATCCTCCATGCCTGTACTGTCCTGGGCCTTCTGCTGACTGCTGTAGATAGTGGGAACAAACTACCAATCAAGGCTGGAACTTCTAGTCTTGAGGAACAGAGAGCAAGCCAGTAGTCCCACAAATAAAATATTGCTCTTACAGGTCTCAGTAAGTCTTACTTTCCAGTCATCAGTAAGCCTTACAAAACAAACAAAGGTGCTGGGACAAAAAAATAGGGGAGCCTCTCAAGTGGGACTTGTCGTTCACATGAATCCAGGAATCTTCTCAGTTATCTTGGTTCCCCTTACTCCATGCATTTTGTCCATCCCCGAGTCCCAGCAGTTCTGCGTCCCAAATAATCTCCTGAACTCACCTCCTTGCATTCAGTATCAAGGGAGCTGTGTGTGTGCTGAAGGAGTTGAGGGAAACAAGAGCTCAGTGGAGGCTCAGAGGCCAGTGAGAGCATCATACAGGTGACAAACTGGAAGTGTCAGAAATGAGAGTGAGAGGATCAGCAGTTAGCGTAATGGCTATGTTGCTGGACTCCCACGTAGTAGGAAGGTGAGGCTAGGTCTGAGGGGGAATCAGCCTTGGCAACTGGTTTGCACTCTCACTTACTGTTCTGCTTGAAGAACCCGATGCAGTTGGCCTGGATGAAGCCTGGCTCTGCCTGTTTTTATAGAATAGCTAGCAAGTATCAAATGTTTACTGCGGAGAACCAGCAGTTAGCGTAATGACTATGTCGCTAGACTCCCAAGTAGTCGACCACAGTTCGTGTCCCAGACCCGGAGGCTTAGAACTCATGCCGGGCGCATGTGCGTGCGTGCCCAAGATCCCCAGAAGAGAATAGAGGAGAAGGGATTGTGGCATGACCATCCCCCCTGGGGGGTGATTTCCCACTTTCTGTCTCTATGTCTCTCTGTCTGTCTGGCGAGCGCACACGCCCTATAGCAAAAATCTCTCCAAAAAAAAAAAAATGTTTACTGCGTGCCCACCTCTCCTGAGTGCTTCATGTCTTTTTACGTCAAA